CTCTCAGATTAATATCAATGCCTCGAGGCTCAAATAAAATTGGACAAATAGCCTGTGATTTTCTATTAAAATTTAAAACTGCCTGTGGCATGTTTGACAAAAGTGTTGCTTATGTTCGCATACTGACTCTCCTTGAATTAGAACAGATACGACTACAGCGGCTAATCAGACGGGCCAGTATTAGATTCAGCTGCCATTCAGGAAGAAAAAATATTTGAAGACCTTTAAGAATTTCAATGATAAAAACTGAACCTTTAAAAGAAAAAAATGCTAAAGAATTACTTGAATTTTATTCTTTTGACTTCTCTTTTATACCTTTTCAAAAAACCTGCTGTTCTTGTTCAGCTTTTGTTACGCTGTAAGTTACATCAAACCAACACATACTTTCTTTAATTACCATTTCAGAGCTGCAGTGAGACAATTTTGAAATTTTTACCTTTAAAATAGCTTGAACTTGTTATTCATTTTAACCAAGAATAATGTTTTGTCCTTAATCTTAATGCAGTTTTTATTTAGACTATAAATATTAGAGCCCAACTGATATATTGATGGGGCTGATATTTTAGGCCAATATAGGTGTTTGAGGACATATGGGTATCGGTGATAACTGGTCCATTATGCTCCGATATAAATGCCGGGAACAATCCGTGTCCTTACATGCAAAATATGTAATTGTAAAATGTATCCAGCAGAGGGCGAATACTTTAAAGTCATGGCCATTCACTTTAAGTTTCACTTTCAGCACAGCCGAAGCAGGGAACAATACTGTGTAGAATATTTTGCTGAACAAAGCATGGTACGTTTATTGTAAGTGATCTGTAAACTTAAAAAAAAAATCTAGAATAAGTTCTCTTCAGTCCTCCAAACTGTTTGTCATTGGCTACGCGTCTCTCAAGTTAGCAAGCTAACGTTTAGATAACCTAGCATAGGCTATTGCCTTGTAAAACTTTAGCCAAAACAATAATGTAGCGGTAAATATTATGGGTATAAGGGTACACGTGGGTGTATTGGACCATTTCGGTACGGCATGTTTGGTTCGGTCCACGTGCGTACTGTTTCAGTTATTTTTTTCGTTCATTAAATTTTATTAACGCGAGATTATGCACCATGTCACTAAAGTTCCTAAGCTTGTTTCAGCACGGCGCTATAGTCTTGCAGCACGCGTAGCATTAGCAGCCCAGGATCTTGTTGTGGTCTCCTGTTTGGGAACATTATGGCTTTATTGTTAAAAGACAAGTGCAAATCCAAAGCTGTGTGTCGACGTTGCTTCACAAAGATTGGATCTACCGCAGGCAACACGTCTAAATTGTTAACGCGCTTGAAATGACATCATCCAAACGTGAACGTCTCTTCTAGCAGCTTGGTGCAAAGACCGAAAGCAGCAGCATTTAAACAACCTTTATCAGGTAATTCAGATCGGTCCAGAGCAATAACACAAGCTGTAGGAGTTTTTTAAAGCTCTGGATCTACGTCCGAATGTTGTTGATGCGCTGGTTTAAAAGTTACTGAGCCCCACTACGACATCCATCACTTCAGCACTTCAGCCAAAAAGTTGTAGCTGCACTTTATGAAAAAGCTCAAACTGATGTTGTCAACAAGCACTGGAGCCCAGATTTAAAGCCCTGCCACATGATGATGATGACCGAGAGATTCAACCACCTCATAAGAACCGTTCAAGAAGAGGTATTGTTCTTTTATTATTATCTAATTAACTCTTTTTAATTTAAAATTATAATCTTATCAACTCTTTTTTTTACCTCTTTGTGTTTTATTTCCAGTCTGGGACAGAGATGGCAGCTGAGTCTTCTTCCTCTTCAGGGAAATCCACCAGAGATCACGTCCAGCTAAGAAGTTTGTGATGACTGAACTCTGAACTTTTCCAGGGACAGGTGGGAGCAGGTCCAAGAAGAGGTTGTGAGTAACGAGGCCAAATACAGCCACACTCTCTATTCCTGCTACTGTTGCTAGTGAGCCGTTTTCTCCACCGCTGGAGATATTCACTGCAACTAGATTTGTGCTTTTGGAAGAAAATGTAGACAAGTTGGTCGATTTTGGCCAAAAACTTAAAACTTGATTAGTTAAGATTGTAAACGATCTGTTGCTGCTTGTTTTATTGTTCTGACTGTTATTGTATTTAATTTTTTTATTATTGTTATTATAGTTTATTTATTGTAGAGTGTCATTTATTTAAAATGTCATCCAAATGGGTCGTTTTATTTATTATTATACTAACGTATGGTTTACTTGGCATATTTTCAAAATAAACGTTTTGTAAGTCTTCATTTTGTCTTTTTTTGTACCGAAAATTAACAGAACCGAGCCCTCCTTGAAAATGAACCAAACCGAAATGTGATTTTAGCGTACCGTTACACCCCTAGTAAATATATATATATCAGTGTTAGTAACATTCTCTTTGTCGTCCTCATTGAAATGCATTGTTTGTCTGAAATCTTTCTCTACAAAGAAAAAGCAATGCTGCTACGGTCAAATACTAATTAAGACCTTCACCATACCAGACTGACTGTTTAAACAATGAACAGGGGAAGAGTGCCTCTTTGTTTTAATTTATATTTTTGTAATACTTTATAACTTTACAGTGAATAGTGGAGGATGGAAAGTGTAGATGCACATAGGAAGACTGTTTCAAGACCAAGTGTTAAACAAGTTTAAACGTAGCTGTTTATTTAGATTCTTGGGGGTGAAATGCGCTAAAAAAAAAATTCTGCCATTATATTAGTTAACAGCATTAGCATCCCCATCCCAAAATCAGTATTGGCGATAGCAAAAATACCCATATTGGCTGGGCTCTAATAAATATTACTGAATCCTTATCAGTAAAGGAGTTTTATAAGATGCATAGAGCTACAATACATGAATAGAACTAAAGAACATAATTTTTGCCAGCATGCTTTTACAGAGACCCCTGCATTTACATTATTTGAAGCTGTGCAAACCCTCAAAGCAGTGAGTAGTCCTACACAGAACAGGAAGTGAACACACTCAGAGATGTGCAGCTTTAGTAACGGCATCAGGGGCGACTGATAATTAATGGTTCAGTATAACTCACCTCTATAAAACACCTCTACACTGCAGACTACTGCAGCTTGAGGTAATTGTTAACAATATGATTTATAGTTATAACAGTTAATATAAATATATCCAATGTGCTTTAATTATATATACTTGCAAATTATATATATATATA